CTTGTGTGACACCCACCAGTCCATATTTTAAAGTGGTACCCATTAACTTCTGTGAATTCAGTAAGATGAAACATTCTGTGAATTATGAATTTCTGAGCTGTGTTGTCTATAAATGGGAAAGCTGCCTCTACTTCAATGAAAACTTGTATTTGTTTAGCACTTATGAACAGTATTATTGTTCACTGTAAATTTGTTTGTTTTCTCAAGCCAAAGAGGAAAGACCTGCCTGCTCCAGAAGCAGAAGCAAAACAATTATATAATTTTCTCATTTGCCAATTATTTAGCGTTAATTGGAACTTCACGTTACTTTCTGGGAGGGAATTATAATTTTAGCATACCATAGACAGTTTGCAATGTACACAGAACATTTGAAGCAGAAATTTATGAAGTTACAATATTTTCCTTGCAGGATGGATTAGCTATTCACCATTAGGACTAGGTCCAATATTTATGAAATATTCACAAATGATTAATTATGCTTCATTTACAAATGGACTCTAATGGGAGATATTTTATTGCAAGGGATATTTTAATGAATTGCCTGTCTTTGTGAATTCATGTTCAGGACTAAATCCAGCTTTACACCTGAGCTTTCAAAGCTTATCATGGCTTTTCTGTTTCTACTGTACCACTGATGTGACATTCCCTGTTCACCTAAACTAGAAAACTTGGGTATCTCTTCCTCTCCTTCCTACCACACTTCAGAACAGTCACCATATTCAAATGTTTCCTTTTTGTTCATAGAATAAAAGCTAAATCTTAACACAATGCAATAGGATATTCATAGCCTGTGCCAAAGCAAAGCTCCCTTTACCACCAAGTAAGCCATCTTAGCTCTCACAGTAGGACACATCCTTACCTCTGTGCATCAAACCAGCATTCTTTCCTTGCTCAGAATGACTTTTTAACCTTTGTTTGCATTCCCTTCTTGTTTAAAAGCCAGTTCAAGCTTTGCTTCTTCTTATAACTTCTGTAGACTTCAATTCTTCCACTTAGCCAGAATCAGTAATGCTCTCATTTATTTTCTTGTGGAAGTGCATGCAGATATGAGGGTTGTTTTAATTTATTTATACATCTAACTTGTATATAAGCAGTAAGATGATTTGACCTCTCACTGTGTTTTATTTTTCTGTCTTCTGTATACCATGTAAAACAATCACACAATAGTAACATAATGAAAGTTGTGTGACTTAATTGGAAATCCTCTGAAAATAAAACTAAAGCAATGTCATGTTTCCATGTGCATGTCATGTGAATAACAAATTGTGGCAAATGATGATGATAAAGTAGACAGAGGTGAAGAAGATCTGACAACAGATCAGATACAAGTTCCAACAGCGGGAGCTTAAAGTGATGCAGCAGTTTAGAGCAGAAAGGCAGTTGAGAAACTTCCTTTCAGTACAAAGTTAACAAACTTTTATTCCGTTATGATCTCTTCCCACCCTGCAGCTTGGCATTTTCTGTGTCAGTAGTCCCCAGACCTCTGTAAACCCAGGAAATAAGTCTTCTATGGATGAGTTAATGAATGAATGTGTGAGTAAGTAAATGGTTGGACAAATGGGACCTTTCAAGCTAATTCACATAAAATAAACAGACCCAAAGGCTCAAGCTCTGGGAAACACAGACTACACCCTCTCCAAGCTGTCACTCTGTTCTCCAAATTCAGCAGGTGATTTCATGTCAATTATGAAATCTTTTATTCTCAAGAAAATTATAACCAGCGTGGTGACTCAGGTCACAATCTTAGTTGGAAGACTGAGGAAGGAAAATCACAAACTCAAGGCATGCTTTGCTGCAATGTTAGTTCAAGGTCTACCTCAGCAACTTAGTGAAATGGTAAGTCAAGGAAACAAAAAAATGAGAAGAGATACAGCTGTAGATAGAGCTTGGGGGTAGACCATTTTCAGTTCTCTATGTTCAATATCCAATATGAAAGAAAGTAAAGAAAAAAAGGCAAAGAAGGATGAAAGAAAGAAATTTACACAGCCATTTTGTTAATAAAAAACATGAAGTCAAATTCATAACATCATGTAAGTAGATGTCAACACTATTGTTCTTAAGGATGACCTGGTGTGTATCTTTCTCTGTTAACTGCTGGCATGGCATTCACAAGCAGAGATATAATTGATTGTTTGGTAGCAAGAAAAATTCTGTTTTATATAATCTTTATTGTTATTGTGGTAGCAAGTGAATGAATGTTGGAAACTGTCCTCTCCTGACAAAAGCAGCAGTCTTGGAAGCTGAAGACCAGAGTTTAGTTCCTTATCTTGCTATCTTACATTAGACAAATCCTTTATTTTCTTGGAAGCTTAGATTTCTTATTTGCACAGCAAGGCATAGAATTACAGTCTCATGGAGTAGTGCAACGAGCAGATGAATAATGACTATGGAAAGAGTTTTCCATATAAAAGTAAATTATTAAGCTTACATAAGAATGTGAAAATGTGACTAAAAAGGGTTTCTCAAGTACACATTCATTTCTTTTTGTTCCCTTTGTTACTGTCTTTCAATTTCAGGGTATCTCAACTTTAATTTACCTAAACAGATGAAAACAGAATTAATGAACGTGGTAATAGAGTAAAACACAGTTAGAAAGACATCAGCATTTTGTCATGAGCTTCCATCGCCATAAGGACAGCAGAACAATCCCAGAACAGAGAACATATGAAAATTAACATCATTACAGACACTGGTATCTCTGTGATAAAAGAAGAATAAAAAACTCGCTGGCTCGTTTTTGTTAATAACTGAGTTTATGGCTGTCAAGTGTTCTGTATTAGCGCAGGTCTAGGAATTCATTTCAAATTAAACCGATCAGAAAATAATTTGCATTGCTCAGCTTTGCCTCGGACAAGGTGCAGAAGCCTTGTGTGCTTTCAGCTGATGATTTCATCTCTGCTCTTTTTTGTCAATGAAAATTATCCTGTGAACAATTATTAGCATTTTTCTTGTGGCTTCATGTTTTCTGTAAAATATTTTATTCAAATTGAATACATCTAAAGTAAGAAGATAAACTAAAGTACATTTTTACAGTACCTTCGAATAATCTCTGATGGCTATGCCCTAGGCATCTCTTGGGATCTTCAGTGTAAATAGGCCCTTCCAAGGGATCTGTTTATGACCTTTATTTTGTGGTTTGGGAAATGAGACTGTATATGGCTGATACTTTTTTATAGAATAAAGAAAAGAAAGAATGCGAGGCCTTCTTATGAGCACTCTTTTTAGTATCCTATATCAGAACAATATCCACTTTAACACATATAACTTAATTCTCCGTTATCCAAATGGTATCAGGGAAACAGGAAGTCTTGCTCAACACTTCTCTCATCTCTTTTACAGTGGATACTGATTGAATGATGATACATATCAGGGACAATAAATTGGATGATAGAGATCTCAATAGCCTGCAACAACTTACTAAATCTAAGAAAAGTGAATTTTACAGAGACAGATGCAAAGTCAGTGCTTAAAGTACAAAATCCAGTAGCAAAGGTACATGAAGTGGGACATATGGCTTAGCTGCACAGCAGGGCCATTTTTCCCCCAAAATGGCTGCTTTCAAAGAATGGAAAGTTACATGAAGTTGTCTTTGTCTCATTTCTAGATCAAATAACTTTTACGTAAGTTAATAGAAATACATGTAGCACAATAAAGATTCCAAATATAATCTGTTCTGTCTGCTTCTGAAAACAGGCACAGACACCAATGAACTGAAGCAGAGAAAGCAGAAAAATCAGAATGAAAAATTGTTTCAGAGCCACACACCTCAGGAAAACCTAAATGAATTGGGCCTGTCACTCTAAAAAGAAGACCATTCTACTTGTCAGTTGCTTATCAGTTGTATGAAAAGAGCATGAGAGGACCATGAATATTATAAGTAGTTAGGGTAAATAAATGTATACATGAAGGGAAGCTGGGATACGATATGGTAAGACATAAGCTTGACTGTGGGTAGCTCACTAATATAATGGCCTGACCTGGGAAAATCACTAAGGAATAGAATCTCAAGTTCTTGATCTACCTCATAGGACAGCAATGAAAACTACATTAAATAACATGCCAGTCACCTACAGAGCATGACATATAGGAGACGATCAGTGGCATGAACTATTTATTAGGGAAATGTCTTGCAGAATAATTAAAAAAATTTTAAAGATTAAATTTTTTTTCATTTCTGTGTATGTGTGAATCTCGGCATGTGCATATGCCATGTGTATGCAGGTGTTCACAAGGCCAAAAGAGGGTTGGATTCCTTGGATTTGGAGCTATAGGGGGTTGTGAGATGAGCAGTGCAGGTATTGGAAACATTACTGGGTACTTTGGTAGAGGACAAGAGCTCTTAACTGTTGAGCCATCTTTCAGCCCCATGGAATAAGTATTGTTATGTTTTGAGCATAAAGTACTCTTCCTAAAAGCTTTGTCCTGAGCTGGTTGTAGTTTTGAGAGGCAAATAGATCATGAGGATGCCAAATTCAATAATGCATTAACCAACTGAGTTAATATGTACCATGCTATTAGATTGCAGGGTCTGGTAGGAGGAAGTCGCTGGAGACTTGTCATTGGAAGGAACGACTTGTCCTTGACCCCTTTGTGTCTCTCTGTTCCTTCTTCCCTGCCTTTTCTCCAAGATGAACCTTCACACCATTTGCTCAGGAAGTGTGACCCACTGACTGTAGACTGAGACATGGAATCTATGAGCTGAAATAAATATTTTCTATTAAAGTTGTTACTTTGAAATATTTTTTGTCACAGCAATGGAAATAATTGTTATATAAGCATATATATATATATATATATATATATATGAATGATAAGCATCTGCTGTGCCTTCCAATGCAGTGTGTGTGTGTGTGTCTGTGTGTCTGTGTGTGTGTGTCTGTGTATGTGACCAACAGAATTAAAGGCTTATTTTAAAACATTTAATTCCTTTGATATTATATTGTTTTATAAAGTGGCAAGAAATCTGCACACAAGTTGTAAGATGGTGTTTGTGTACTCACCTGTAAAGTGCCGATAGGGGCCTCTTGTTTCCAGGCTTTGGTCTGTATGGTTTCGGTTCCCCTGCCATGTTAATATCTGAAAACATAAAATACGGTTGGTTAAAAATATTAAACTATGTGACAAAATTATACCTTAAAGTTTTATTTTTCATTTACCAGCTGATTATGTAAATTTTTGTTTTTATTTTGTCTGTTTGTTTGTTTGTGGCAAGGTCTCCTTGTAGCCCCAGCTGACCTAGAACTCACTATATTGACCAGGCTGGCCTCCCTCTCAGACTGCTTTGCCTCCTGTGATTAAATGCAGGCACCACAACACCCAGGTTGTTTATGCAAATCCTTTAAATAAGCATCTGTGTGCTTATTTATTGACTGTGTGTCTGGTGCATGTACTTATTATTGTGGGTGTGTGCACATGTACATGTGGGCACACACATGTATGTGGAAGTCCCAGGTCAATATCTGTTTTCCCTTGAACATTCTCCACCTTTGGTTATTGAAACACAGTCTCTCCCTGAACCTGAAGCTCATGAATTTTGCTTGGCTTTCTGGCCAATGAGCTTCAGGAATCTACCTGTAACTATGTCTTACTCCAACATGTATTTAAGCACCTACATTACATCGGACAGTAGTTGGGTTTGTCATACAAACAAGATTAGACCCTTTCTCTTCATTAATTTACACCCATCTGGGAAGATGTGGATGGTAAGACAGAAGTGTAATAAATGAGAAAAATACATAACAATTTAATATCATAAGTGCTATGGGGAAAATGAATGATGTAAAAGGAATCAGGATGTGTGATTAAAAAAAGAGAATTCAGGCTGAAGAGATGGCTCAGCAGTTAAGAGCACTGACTGCTCTTGTAGAAGGCCCAGGTTCAATTCCCAGTACCCACATGGCAGCTACAAAACATCCTTAACTCCAGTTCCAGGGGAATCCGAAGCCCTCTTCTTACCTCCGCCGCATCACATGACACAGGTGCACTCACATACATGCAGGCAATACACTCATACACATAAAATAAAAATAATAAATAAAATATTATATAAAAAAGAGAATGCAATATCCTTCTAATTTTTACTTTTTGTGAAGAATTTCTCAGCCTGTATAAATATTTGTATGAAATACAATTTGTTCCTAAAAGTAGTTTCTCCATTATGTGACTATGTTGTGTAGCAATTTCCTCAGATATAAGACTTTTCATCTTTGAGGGCAGCTAAGAACAATAGGATGTTAAAGGGAGGCAAACAACAGAATGTTCTAAATGAAAATAAATTGTAGTTATGTTCCAAAGGGAGATAAACATCAGTATGCTCTAAGGGGAGGTAAACATTGCATCCTGCAGGAAGCCCCTTAAGCTCAGGAAGTAAATAACTCTATAGATTCAGGAAGTCCCTGAAATTGACCAGGTTCACTAGGTCTTTCCTTGCCCAGGCATTTAAAACCCCTAAGAACTTCGGAAAAACAGAAACAGTCAGACCTGCCAGAAGCCGCAGACACCAGCTGAGCTGCCTGGAAAAATCATAAACCAAAGTGGCCCAGAGCAACAGAACTACCCGGAAGAACACTCTCCAGCTTGTTGAGCTACTTTACAGGTTGTACAGTGTGTTCCAGGTTTCCTACTTTCATGAGCTGTCACCATATTGGGTGATCTTTTGGTAATGCAACAGTCTTTGGGTCATTTCTGCTCCAGTAAGTAACCCCAATAAAGCTCATTGGTTCAAGTTGGACTTGGGTTGTATCTTTATAATGTCTGTCATTGGTTCCTTATCTGGGGTTACTAGATGTTTGTTCACACCTCTCCAGGCACAGTGTCACATAAAAGGCCATAATGAGTATCATGTTTATTTATTAAGCAATAAAATGAACTTGATCATGTATACTTGATGCTATGTATTTCCAAAGTGGACACACCCTCTGCTTTCATGAGTTGAAAATGTGAGCAAGACTCTGAGATAGATAAGATGCCTGAAGATATGACAGTGATATGTACAACCGCCAAGATTGAGGTTAAAAGAAATGTTAAATTTTTAAGAAATTGGAAAGTTGGGTAGAGATTTGTAAAATGTATAAAGTTGTGCTCTGCAATTTTAATAAAATTCTCAAATATTCTTTTTATGTGTGTGTAGTTTGTCATATTGTTTCTAAAATGCATAAATATGACAAAGTGAAGGCAAAAGAGCTATTATACACTGGTAAAATAGACAAGGTTGGCAAAGAGGCCTTATCACACTGCATTTTATGACTCTGTTAAGATTATAGCATTGGTACAGGTAGAAAGGGACCAGTGGAACAGAATACAGGAACCTCAAGCTGCCGTACACAGAGACAAATCTCTAAAGCATTCAATAGTTATATGTTGACATCAGAATTATGGAGTAAGATCAGTGGAGAAGAACCAGGTTGTTTTATTTTTTTAGAGAGAGTCTCACCCAATATCTGGGGTAGTTCACGATTCCCCTCCTTCAGCCTCCTGTTTAGTGGGATTATTGTCGTGTATCAACATGATAGATGTTTTAATGAATAATATTATAACAATTAGTTACTTACAATGTTAAGGAAGTTATAACCATACTTTGTACTATCATAAAGAATTGATTAGTTTAAATATGAAAATAAAATATAAAAAATTTTAATGATAATAAAATGAGGATATCTTTATGAGTTCAGAATATGGGATGATAATCTTAAACCAGACATAAAATTTCCTGGCCTTAACATATAAAATTGATGAATTTTATTACATTAAAATTAACATAACTATTATAACCATACTTTGTACTATCATAAAGAATTGATTAGTTTAAATATGAAAATAAAATATAAAAAATTTTAATGATAATAAAATGAGGATATCTTTATGAGTTCAGAATATGGGATGATAATCTTAAACCAGACATAAAATTTCCTGGCCTTAACATATAAAATTGATGAATTTTATTACATTAAAATTAACATAACTAAAATTATATGCTCATCTAAAGTCATATAAAGATGGTAGAAAGAGCCACAAACTGAACAAAAGTCCTTGACAAAGTATCCTTACGTATTCTTGAATATGTAAAGGACTCATTTACATACAGGAAAAAGTGTCAAAGCACAAATTAGAAATTTGAGAAAAGTCAAAATAACTAGTAAATCCACATTATATAAAATGACACATGGGGGGGGGCTAGAGAGATGGTTCAGCGGTTAAGAACACTGACTGTTCTTGAGGAAGACCTGGGCTCGAATCCCAGGACCCATGTGGCAGTTAATAACTCTCTGTAACTCCAGTTCCAGGGGATCCGATAGCCTCTTCTCATCCTCTGCGGACATTGCATGACACAGGTGCACTTACCTATGTGCAGGCAATACACGCATACACATAAAATAAAAAATGATAAAATATTTTTAAAAATGACACACGGTAAGTAGATAAATGAAAATTTCTTAACCTCATTAGTATTGGGAAATCTAAGTTAAAGCATCATGAGTTCACAATTTACCTAAGTTCCCAGTTTACAAAGACAGAGGACATCAAGTGTTGACCAGTTTTGGTACAACTAGAAAGTGTATACATTGCAGGTATATGTGGAAATTCATAAAACTATTCTGGAATAAACTTAAAATGTTTAAATTTTAATCATTTGTGGAGATAATATGCATCTAATAAAATTATTGCATATGTGCACCATAAGATGTATAAAAGAGTGTTCAGTTTCGGGGCTGGAGAGATGGCTCAGCAGCTAAGAGCACTGGCTGGTCTTGCTGAAGATGGGGGTTCAATTATCAGCACTCACATGGCAGATAACAGCCATGTGTAACTCCAGTTTCAGGGCCTCCTATGCCCCCTTCTGTTCTTTGCAGGTGCTGTATGACATGGGTGCACTTACATACATGCAGACAATAGATTCATACATATAAAATAAAAATAATAATTTGTTTTAAAAAAAGTGTTTAGTTTAGCACACTGGAACAAAATGATACTCTTGAAGGAAAACAAGATTAGCAATTGAGAGTTAATAGGATAAATATATTTTTAAATTTTACAGAAGAAATAATTTACAACAGAAAAATAAAGAGAGGTGAAGAGAGAATTAGAGTCACAGGCTATACCACAGATCCATTGAGGAGCCCCATGTTAGTTCACTGGCAAAGGCTGACAATATCACTTCTTTCATGTAAATGAAGGTACCAAAAAGAAGGATTAAGTAGTAATAAAATGCATGTGATTAGTCTAAATTAAAGAAAGCAGAAATAAACAATTTCAACAGAGGATTAACTCTAAAAGTATAGAAAGGATTGTAGGATTTGGGGAGACAACCAAGAAAGTTTGAGATTAAATTACAGAGTACTGTTTCTTAAATTAATAGAAAGAACATGGTTTTGTATCACAGTATTATTGTCTGTGACAAATATTTTTTAAATTTTATGTTAAGTAGTGATTAGTTAACAAGAGAAAACATGAGAAATATAAAGGTAAGGTATGTTGATTCATCCACAGGTCAGACCAGCAGGTTTTGGTAACCAAGCATATTCAGCTATTATTGAGGGGTTGAGGAAGAATAAATTTGGGGTAGACTACTGAGTATAAGATCATTAGAAACTTCAACTAGAACTTCAAGTTTGATTTGAGTGGGATATGATATGTGGTTCTCAGTGGAGGACAGACTGGAGAATAAATCACACAGGCACTGAACCTTGTGTGATTTAGAATAAGGCATTATGTGTACCAAGGCTGTTTAAACCTCTCATATGTGCTACAGTTGAAGAAAAATATAAGTAAAAGACTGTGATGATGGCAGAGACATCCCAGCTATGAGAATATCACAAGGCTACATGAAGCTTTCAAGTACAAACCTTGTAACTTATAAAATAAAAAATTGAAATTATCCCCATCATTAAACAAAATGCTTGAGACAAATCTTTCAACAAAAATATTGCTATTATCCCATTTTTTTAAAAAAATAATATGCTGTCAGTGTTTCTGAAAATGCACGTAGGAGATGACAGCATACTCATACCACAGAAAGCTTTTCATGGCATGCTGGTAAATCAGTATTTCCAGACATTAGCTTCCCATTAAAAGTGTTT